GGGTGTTATGCACAAACAATGAATCATGGAACACTACATCAAAAACTAATGATGTAATGTATGGTGATTAACATAACAATAAAAAATAAAAAAAAAGAATAGATGAGTGGGTGCTGGAGGTGGGGAGGAACTGGTGGGGCTGGGGCAAAATGGGTGTAGGTGGAAAATAAAATCTGTGCTTGCTCTGCTTGCCTCATGGGGCTGCTGTGAGGAGCGAGGTGGGAAACCATGACCATGAGGGGGCAGGAGTTCCCAGTGAGCTTATGCTAGGAGAAGACCCTGAGGTTCCAGGCTCTGTTGCTTCCTCTTGCTGCTTCCATTACTCTCCCCTTTCCTTGTGCTATGAGAATCATCACAGTAATAACAGTAGTGATCATGATAATAACTTGTGTCTGACAGTCTGCTCTGCACTAGTCTTTACCTGTTCTTCACACACGTGAATTTTAAATCTCACTCCATCCATGGGGGGTAGGTACAATGATTGTCCCCAGTTTACAGACAAGCAAACTGAAACATAGAGAGGAGAAATAATTTCCTACATGTCAGATGTAATCAGTGGTGAGCTGGACTTTGAACCCACGTTGCTCAGCTTTGCTGTGTAAGTTCTCAACACTCTACCTACTGATCATGAAAACCTGATTGTCCACATCCCTCATACTCCCCCTGCCCTGTCACCTCTCTCTTTTCCTTGATGAGGTGCTGGGTGCTGCTCTCAGTGAGGCTGAGGGCTTGGGATGCTCTATCATCTCCCCCCTCCATCTCCATGCCTCTCCACCACCCCAAGCCCTTGTACCATCACAACTCTCCAACAGGCTGGTGAAGATCTTCCCGGACGAAGAACTGAATCCTGGGGAGCAACGACAGGCTGTGGCATTAACACACGTGGATTTCGGAGGGCACCACTGAGCACAGTCTGTGGGGGCAGAGGCTGTGGGGACGAAGACCACAGTCAGAAGGCTCAAGAAATGGAGGGAGCCAGCTGCCAGTTGGGGGTCCAGGAATAGAGCAGGGGAGGGTAGGAAAGGCATAGCTGCCATTGGAAGAGCTCAGAAAACTCTGGACATTTAGGGAGGAGGAAACAGCTTCTGTATACCCAGAAGACCATCTGTGAGCCTTACTTGTGGAATAAGCTCCCTTCCCTACCCCTTGTTGGTGAGAAAACCCAGACCCCAGCATGCACTCCCCAGCTTATGTCACCAATGGGGCTGGCTGGGCAGACTCACCTTTCAGTTTCTGTACAGGTCCCAGTGTCAACAGTAGCAGCACTAAGATCCCTGGGACAGAAAAACAGATGACAAAGAGAGGAGAGTCAAGTTCCAGTTTCAACCCATGTCTGCATGGTCATTGCCTTCTGGGGGGTGGTTCTGCCTGCAGCCCATGGCTTTCCAGCAGGATCCTGGAGGCTCCTATACTGCACACAGAACCAAGACTCAGCCTGTCGTCGCCATCTCCCTGGACTCCCCAAGAAGTCAGTCAAGGATAACCACAGCCTTCATGGAACCCGAGGTGCTACAGGTGAGGGGACAGAGTATACACAGACAGCTGATGTCAGGGACACAACGTAGAAACTCCAACCTCTCCCAAAGGAGGGGAGTAAATCTATTTTTTTTTAATTTTAATTTTATTTTATTATGTTATGTTAGTCACCATACAATACATCATTAGTTTTTGATGTAGTGATCCACGCTTCATTGTTTTCATATAACACCCAGTGTTCCATGCAGTACATGCCCTCCTTAACACCCATCACCAGGCTAGCCCATCCCCCCACTCCCCTCCTCTCTAAAACCCTCAGTTTGTTTCTCAGAGTCCATAGTCTCTCATGGTTTGTCTCTCCCTCCGAGAGGAGTAAATCTTGAAGGAGAAACTCTTCCAATCCATGTGTCTTGCCCATATGCAGGTTCTTTGTTCTATGGCAATAGCAGAAATCTGCTTAGAGGAGGCCCGCTCTCTCCTCCATGGTGAATGGGTGCCTTTTCTATTTCACATGGAGCATCCTATGGGATAATAGTGTGGCCAAATTGTCTGTTGTCCAGATGTGGATGGAAATAGCCCAAGCCCTCTCAATCTGTCAAGCCTGGTGCCCTCAGCTTTCCTGGGTGGCTCCCAGATGGGGTGGGGATGTCACAGCCACCTGAGTCTCAACCTGAGGACTTGAACAAGTCCAGGGTGGGCCTTCCTGGGAACCGCGTGCAGGGGAAATGCTGCATTCCCGACCAGGACCTATCATGACTCCCAGCTATGGCCTTTGTCCTGATTTTCTCTAGGTGGATTCTCACTGCCTGCATAACCTTTGGCATCTCCGTTGTCCTGGCAGGAGAGCATGTTCCCATCCATGTTAACTCTGAGACTCCAGCTCCACGGAGATGGACAAGACTCACACCTGAGCCAGGTCTTTTAAGGGGCTTCAGGGAAAGAGTCAAGAGAATGAAAGTGATGCTGGACAGGCAGGATCACCTGGACAGTGGGAACCAGGGCTGTGGTACACAATGGGGCTGACATCCAGTCAGGCAGCCTTGGGACAGTGAAGTTGCCTTTTTGGATCCCTGTGAAGGCATCCCATGGGCTGGCAGGAAGTGGTGAGAATCCACATCTGAGCAAAGCCAGCCTTGGGTGAGGGCAGGGTGGTTGGAGAGGGGAGCAGGTGCTGATGGGCTGAATGGGGCTCGGCCTCCACCTTCTGTCCCTGATGGTCTGGGTCAGCGTGGAGCCTGGAATGACCTCCTTGGAAGAGGGTCAGGCCTCTGGCAATGGTGCCCGCTCTTTATACCCAGTCCAGATGGCAGCATCTTCCATTCACTTAAATTTTAGAGTGGGTGTGTAGGATGGTCCATATCACTCTGCCCAGCCCCACACATCTTCCAGGTCCCAGTCATCTGAGTTGCCCACAGGCTTATAAACTAAAATTATCAGGGAGGTTCAGGGCAGAGCCTTGCATGGGGAATTAGAGCCGGGAGGCCAAGAAGCCAGTTCACTGTGCTAGGAGGAGCCTTCTCCAGGTGGGGTTATTGGCCAGGGGCAGGGATGGCCAGGGAGGGTGGGCCTACCCTTGAATCTCCCCCCTTCCCACATTTCTGGACAGGGTTCTTGGGTCCATCCTGGTGTGGCCGAGCCTGTGTGGATTCCGGGGAGGGAGGGGAGGTCTCATCCTGGCCGCCATTGATGAAGCAGAAGAAAACCGACATTGCACTGTGAGCTTGTGAAGTATCCTGGATGCCACCCCTCTGTTTTCTGAAAATAAAGTGCCACGTGGCAAGGGAGACGTTCCAAAATTGTGTGAGTGGCACTCTAAAGAGGGATCTGAGCCTTGGGGTCTGGAGAGGGATAGGACACAGGTCGGTGCCCAGAATAGCTCTCTGATGCTTGGAGAAAGTGAGCTGAGTGACCCCAAACCTCATGGATGGGGAGATGGAAGGTGCAAAGCCATTCTTACCTTGACACATATTCTCACTCTCATTCCTGAATGCTGTCTCAGAAATGAGCTCCTGTCCCGGGCCACACATGCAGTACCTGCCATCCATGCCCTGGCAGTCAGCGTAGGCTGCACAGGACCTTCTCAAAGGTTGTTCACACATGTTGGTGTCTGGAATACAAAAAGATAAAGGATCACTTCCCAAAGGAGTAAGTTCCCCCAGGTCAGAGGCCCTGGTGTGCCACCTGACCCCACAGTGAAGGCTGGATGGATGCGTGTCCCAGGTGGCACACCTAGGGCAGGTCTGAGCTGGAGCCAGCTGCTGTGAATGCCTGCTCACTGTTCTGCTCATCTCTGCTCTCTGGTTGGGCCTGAGGGCATCTAGATTCAGACCCTCTGCTGTGCCATGATGGGGGCAGGAAGGAGATCTGCACCCCTTTCTGCAGGTCTTGTGAAAAAAACAGAGGCACTAAGTCAGGCTCCAGACCACCCCCCGGTGGTGTTTTGGCACCATTGGAGACCTGGGGTGGGCTCTAGTCAGGGCATGGAAGGCCACCCTCGATGCTGAGGCAGTGGAGGGAGTCATGGCCTAGGGGCTGTCCAGGGTGACACTCATCGTTCACCCCCGAGGATGGAAGCAGATGGTCAGGCCCCCACCCATTGATGGTTTCCACCCACTTTTCTCACAATGGTCCAAGTACACCTCACAATCCTTATCAAGCACTCCCTCAAATCCCAATGTCAGTCCTTTTCCAGATTCCCCAGGATGTCTCTGGAGGAATTCCCTTTAATTAGAGCCCATAATAGATGGGAAATGAAGAAGCAACAGGAAGCTACTAATAGCCGAGTCATTGCAGGGTGGCTTCCTGTTCCTAAACCTGAGAAGAAAGAGTCCCATGAACCAGGTCCCTTTGAGTAGCTCAAGGACCCATAAAGCATCACCAGCTAAAAATAACAGTTTAATAAGAGCCGGCAAGACAAGAATGCATCAAAATGCAGGGAAGAATGTTTTCTCCTCTACATGCTAATCAGGGGACCAAAGACTTTTAGAGCTTAAAAGGACTCATGACATCCTGCTAAGTCAGGGCAGGCAACTGGGTCCCCCAGAGCAGAGTTTCCTACCTGAACTTGTGGACATCGCTTCTAAGGCCTCAGGCCCATGCTGTGGGGGTCAGCACCAGGACATGACAGGATGTGGGAAGATGCACACCTGACACATTTGTGTTCACACCCATCTGGGCAATGGGACTGTCCTCCTCTCTTCTCAGAGGGTGGCAATGGTTGGACACCTGCCTTCAAGGTTGTTGGGTGGGTGGAGTCGAGTGGGAGATATGTGGGAATGAGGCATGTGGGAGGGGAAGACATGATGATGAGAAATCCTCCACCTGACAGGTGTGCTCCCAGGAAGGAGCTGGGATCCAGGCACACCATCAGCAGGGCTCCTTGCCATGCTCACCCAGCCACGAGTCTCCATGAGACAGATACACAAATGCAGGGGGATCTGCTAGGGATACCTCTCTGGCATGGAGGGACTGGGCAGGAGTCAGAACACCACTTTTTCTTCTGTGGTAGATTTACTTTCCCTCAAATATTAAATGACACACAGCTACTTAGAATGACAAAGAAAATATAAAAAAATGAAAACATAGAAAATCACCCATCAGTCCACTACACAGACTACTGGTAAATTTTTTTTTAAAAGATTTTATTTATTTATTTGACAGAGAGAGACACGGCGAGAGAGAGAGCACAAGGAGGGGGAGTGGGAGAGGGAGAAGCAGAATCCCCGCTGAGCAGGGAGCCCAATGCGGGGCTCTATCCCAGGACCCTGGGATCATGACCTGAGCTGAAGGCAGATGCTTAATGACTGAGCCACCCAGGCACCCCACTACTGGTAAATTTTAAAGTATTTTTTTCTTTTTAAACATATTAGGAATTTTTCCTTTACTTACCAATATATATGCATCTAAGACTATTTTGAGTACATGAAAGTATTTCTTGGTGTAAAGACTATATTTTCCCACTTTTCCCTATTTTCTTATTGTGGTAAAAGGCACACAACAAAATTTTCCATCTTAACCATTTTTAAGTATTAGAATTTCCTTTTATGATCCTATTTTGTTGAATAAAAACCTCTTGTCCACAATAGCCAAACTATGGAAAGAGCCAAGATGTCCATCAACAGATGAATGGATAAAGAAGATGTATATATATATAGTGAAATATTATGCAGCCATCAAAAGGAATGAAATCTTGCCACGTGCAGTGACGTGGATGGAACTAGAGGGTATTATGCTGAGCGAAATAAGTCAATCAGAGAAAGACAAGCATCATATGATCTCACTGATATGAGGAATTCTTCATCTCAGGAAACAAACTGAGGGTTGCTGGAGTGGTGGGGGTTGGGAGGGATGGGGTGGCTGGGTGATAGATATTGGGGAGGGTATGTGCTATGGTGAGCGCTGTGAAGTGTGTAAGACTGTTGAATCAGAGAACTGTACCTCTGAAAAAATTAATACATTATATGTTAAAAAAAAAAAAGAAGATAGTAGGTAAGGAAAAATGAAGGAGGGGGCAACCGGAGGGGGAGACAAACCATGAGAGACTATGGACTCTGAGAAACAAACTGAGGGTTCTAGAGGGGAGGGGTTGGGAGGATGGGTTAGCCTGGTGATGGGTATTAAAGAGGGCACGTATTGAATGGAGCACTGGGTGTTATACGCAAACAATGAATCATGGAACACTACATCAAAAACTAATGATGTATGGTGATTAACATAACATAAAAAAAGATAAAAAAAACTTCAGTGTCATTATAAAATGTTTTTTAAAGCAAACTTTAGTTCCAGCTTCCTTTATTCAAGTTGTATTTATTTTCATCTTAAAGGAAAAACAATTTTTTTTTTTAAAGATTTTTAAATCCCCCTGGGGGGTGGGCAGCAGGCAGAGGGAGAGGGAGAAGGAGAAGCAGGCTCCCCGCTGAGCAGGGAGCCCGACGCGGTGCTCAGTCCCAGGACCTTGGGATCATGACCTGATCTGAAGGCAGATGCTCAACTGACTGAGCCACCCAGGTGCCCCAATTTTTGTTTCTCTGATTTGAGAAAAATAGTTGATTTTCTTTATGAGATTGAAATTTTTCTTTTCTTTTCTTTTTCTTTCTTTCTTTCTCTTTCTTTCTTCTTTCTTTCTTTCTTTCTTTCTTTCTTTCTTTCTTTCTTTCTTTCTTTCTTTCTTTCCTTTCTTTCTTTCTTTCTTTCTTTCTTTCTTTCTTTCTTCTTTCTTTTTTTTCTTTTTCTTTCTTTCTTCTCTCTCCTTCCTTCCTTCTTTCCTTCCTTCCTTCCTTCCTTCCTTCCTTCCTTCTTCCTCTCTTTTTCAGCATAGTTTAACAACTGTGTTGTTTTAAAGTTAAGGTTATTTCATCATTATATCATCATATATGATAAATAAATATTTCATCATATTTATTTATCATATCACATGCCCTCTTTAATTTCCATCACCCAGTTACCCCATCCCCCCACCCACCTCCCTCTCGACAACCCTGTTTGTTTCCTGGAGTCAAGAGTCGCATATGGTTTGTCTCCCTCAATGATTTCTTCCCATTCAGTTTTCTCTCCCTTTCCCTATTATCCTCTACACTATTCCTTGTGTGCCACATATGAGTGAAACCATATGATAATTGTGTTTCTCTGATTGACTTATTTTTTTTAGGTTAAAATTATGTTACCTTTATTTAAATGTTTTGAAAAGATATTCATATATAACAGGATTTTAAAAATACACTTCTAATTTTGTATAATTTCTTAAGCAGATATGTAGTATAACTTAATTCTTGGATTGTGAAAGTTTTTTTCAGATGATTTTATTTGAGAGAAAGAGAGAGAGCAGAGGGAGGGGCAAAAGGAGGGGGAGACAAGCTGACTCCTGGGGAGCAGGGAGCCTGACTTGGGCCTCTATCTTAGGACCCTGAGATCATGACCTGAGCTGAAATCGAGAGTCAGATGCTCAACTGACTGAGCCACCCAGGTGCTCTGAAAGTTTGTTTTTGTATACTCAAAAAATTATTTCAGGGGCAAAATAAATGATTTTTTTGGTTAAATTTATTTATGGCCTAAATTATATTTTTAATCTTCAACAGTAAATTTAATACATAATAATAGTCATCTTTGAAATTAATTTCTTTTTTTATTATGTTCAGTTAGCCACTGTATAGTACACCAAAATAAATGATTTAAATAGTACTAAACAATACTATCTTATTTGTGCATAGTGCTCTTTAGCTTACAAAGTGTTTTTTTTATTGTTTTTTATTGCAGCATTATTTACAATAGCCAAGATATGGAAGCAAATTGAGTGTTCATAAGCAGATGGGTGGATAAGGGAGATGTGGTATATGCACAATGGAATATTACAGAGCCATAAAAAGGATGAGATTGCACCATTTGAGACAATATGGATGGACCTAGAGGTTATTATGTTAAGTGAAATAAGATTGAGAAAGACAAATACCATATGATATTACTCATAAATGGAATCTAAAAAAACTGCAAATGAATAAAACAAACAAACAAAAAGCAGAATCAGACCTATAAGTACAGAGAACAAACTGATGGTTGCCAGAGGAGAGGGGGGCTGGGGGTTGGGTGAAGGGGAGTGGGAAATACAGGCTATCAATTATGGAATGAATAAGTCATGGGAAGAAAAGTCACAGCATAAGGAATATAGTCAATACTATTGTAACAGCAATGTGTTGATTTATGGGGACAGATGGTAGCTACACTTGTGGTGAACATAGCATAATGTATAAATTTGTCTAATCATTATGTTGTATATCTGAAACCAACGTAACATTGTGTGTCAAATATACTCAAATATAAAAGACTTTAGAAATGTTTTCTTTCTTTTTTAAAATATATTTTCATTGAAGTATAATTAACATGCAGTGTTATATTAGTTTCAGATGTATAACATAATGATTTAACAGTTCTAAACATTACTCAGTGCTCGCCATGATGACTGTAGACATCAATTGTCACCAAACAGTATTATTACAGTATTATTGACTGTATTCTCCATGCTGTGCTTCTCATCTCTGTGACTTATTTATTTTATAGCTGGAAGTTTGTACCTCCTAATCCCCTTTATCTATTTTGCCCATCCCCCCGCCACCTTCCCTCTGGCAAGCACCAGTTTGCTCTCTGTATTTAGAGTCTGGTTTTGTTTGTTTTATATTTTAGATTCCACATATATGTGAAATCATATGGTATTTGTCTTTCTCAGACTGACTTATTGCACTTGACATTAAGCCTTCTAGGTCCATTCATGTTGTTGCAGATGGCAAGATCTTTTTTTAATGGGTGAGTAATATTCCATTGCAGATGGATGCCATATCTTATTTATCATTTCATCTATGGATGAACACTTGAGTTGCTTCCATATCTTAGGCATTGTAAATAATGCTGCAATAAAAGTTAGGGGTGCATATATCTTTTTGAATTAGTGTTTTTGTTTTCTTTGGGTAAATACCCAGTAGTGAAATTGCTGGATCATATAGTATTTCTATTTTTAATTTTTTGAGGAACCTCCATACTGTTTTCCACAGTGGCTGTACCAATTTACATTCCCACTAACAGTACATGAGGGTTCCTTTTTCTCTACATCCTCACCAATACTTAAAAACCCCCTAGTTTTATACCTGGACATGCTTCTACCATGTTATTAGTTGTAAGACTTTGGATAAATCACTCAATCTCTTTGAGCTTAAATTTGATAATTTAAAAAATGATCCTACCCCCAAATCACAAAATTCATAGAAGAAAACAGGGAGTGATCTTTCTGACATTGGTGTAGGCAATGATTTTTTGGACTTGACACCAAAAGCAAAGGCAACAAAAGCAAAAATAGATAAGTGGGACCATAGCAAACTAAAAACTTCTGTACAGCAAGGGAAAGCATCAACAAAATGAAAAGGCAATCTACAATTTGGGAGAAAATATTTGCAAACCATATTATCTCATAAAGAATTAACTTCCAAAATATATAAAGAATTCATACAACTCAATAGCAAAAAGAAAAACCCTCTAAAGATTATTACTAATAAATTTAAAGATGGGTAGAGGATCTGAATATACATTTTTCCAAAGAAGACATCCAAACAGCCAAGAGGTACATGAAAATGTACTCAACACCAGTAATCATCAGGGAAATGAAAATCAAAACCAAAATGAGGTATCATCTCACACCTGTTAGAATGGCTGTTATAAAAAAGACAAGAAATAACAACTGTTGGTGAATATGTGGGAAAAAGGGAAATTTGTGCACAGGTGAAGGAAATTTAAATTGGGAAACTATGACCCTGAGGGGGCAGGAGTTCCTGGTGAGCTCATGCCAGGTGGAGGGGCTGAACTTCTAGGCTCTGGGTGTTTCTTCCCTCCTGTTGCTTCCATTACTCTCCCCTTTCCTTGTGCTATGAGAATCATCACAGTAATAACAGTAGTGACAATGATAATAGCTTGTGTTTGACAGTCTGCTCTGTACTAGCCCTTACATGTTCTTCACACACGTGAATTTTAAATCTCACTCCACCCATGGGGGGTAGGTACAATGATTGTCCCCAATTTACAGACAAGCAAACTGAAGCATGGAGAGGAGAAATAATTTCCTACATGTCAGATGTAATTAGCGGTGAGCTGGACTTTGAACCCATGTAGCCCAGCTCTGCTGTGTAAGCTCTCAACACTCTACTTACTGATCATGAAAACCCGATTGTCCATCTCCCTCGTACTCCCCCTGCCCTGTCACCTCTCTCTTTTCCTTGATGAAGTGCTGCATGCTGCTCTCAAGACTGAGGGCCCCCTTCCTCTCTCCCGCCACATCTCCATGCCTCTCCACCACCCCACGGCCCTGTACCATCACAATTCTCCAAGGGACTGGTAAAAATCTCCCCAAAGAACTGAATCCTGGAGAACAGTGACACATGATGGCATTGACCCATGGAGAGTTCAGAGGGCACCAGTGAGGACAGGTGTGGGGGAACTAGCAGCGGGGATGGGGCCCATAGCCAGAAGTTTCAAGGAATGGATGAAGCCAGCTGCCAGCTAAGAGTCCATGAGTAGAGCAGGGGAGGGTAGGGAATGGATGGCTGCCATCAGAAGAGGAAAGGACAGAAGACTGGACATTTATGGAGGAAGAAACAGTTTCTCTTGTCTCCAGAAGACTATCTTGGAGCTTCACTTGGAGAATAAGCCTCCTTTCCCCCCTTGGTGCAGAACCCAGACCCTAGCATGCTCTCCTTAGCTTATGTCACTAAGTCTGGGCAGACTTACCTCTACTGTTCTGGGCTGCAGCTCCCAATGTCAACAGGAGCAGCATCAAGAGTCCTGGGGCAGAAAAAACAGTGAGAGAACAAAGAGAGGAGAGTGGAGCTCCAGTTTCAATTCCTGGTGGCATGGTCATTGCCTCCTGGGGAGGTGGTTCTGACCCTGCAGCCCACAGCTTTCCAGCAGCATCCACAAGGCTCTTGTACTTTATGTAGAATTGAGGACCAGTCCTATTCCCTCCCTCTTCCTGGACTCCCTGAGAAGTTAGTCACTAATGGACACCACCCACATGGAGCCTCAGTGTTACAGGTAAGGGGACAGAATATACACAGGCAACTGATGTCAGGGACACAACTTAGAAATTCCAGGCTCTCCCGATGGAGGGGCTAAATCTTGAAGCACAAAGTCCACAGATGGGTGTGTGCTCTGTCCACAGTCAGGTCCTTTGTTCTCTGGCAATGACAGAAATCTACCTTGAGGATTACTTTTCCAGGATCACTCCCCCCTTGTTTAACCCACATGTTTTGGGGCACACAAGAAGAGCATGGGTTTGGGAGTCAGCGAGCCCCAAGTCTGAGTCCCAGATCACAGTGATATTGGCTGGGCAGGAAACCTAGGAATCACAAGATGGGGAGCTGATGACAGGTGAGGACTGTGAACTATGGCATTGGCAATTTGAGCCACCATCTCCTTGTTAAGTGGCCTCTCCAGATGCAGTGCCCATGGCTTCTATGGTTCCTTCCAAGTGAGCTCCTGGCCATCCTACAGTGCACTGAGGACACAGGATTTCCCTTTATCTCCCAGTCTGGTCCTGAGTGATGGGTCACTGGGCAGGGTTACTTGTATGAAAACCACTGCAGGTGTGAAGGAATCTACCCTACAGGCAATCACCTGGCCACCTGTTAGAGTCTGTCATTCCATTCATGGGAGGCAATGAAGCTTATGAAAATCTTTCCATATCTCAGTATCTTTATAGGATTTTCCTAAAATGTGCCCAGCATTAAAAATAATCAAGTTCTGCACATCAGATGATAAGAAATGTGACTATTTTCACAACAACCAGGGGAAAAAATTACAACCAATGAGGACAACTGAAACACTTAACTTGTTATCTAACAGGTATTATCCTAAGCATTGAGGGAAAGAAAGACTAATCAGCATTAAGCTGTCCCTGCTGTTATGCACTGTTATTGCCCTTTCAACCATTCCATGACCCACAGAAAGCCTATGAACTAAAGGATGATGTTCTTCTTAGCTCCTTAGAGTTTTCAGAGAATTTGGTTATGTTCCCTTGTGAAAAAAATAGTATAGGTGGTATGAGGGTTAATTTCATGTATCAGTTTGGCTGGGCCACAGCACCCAGATATTTGGTCAAACACTAATCTAGATATTGCTGTGCAGGTGCTTTTTAGATGAGATTAACAATTAAATCAGTAGACTCTGAGTAAAGCAGATTACCCTTCATAATGTGGGTGGGCCTCATCAAATCAGTTGAAGACCTTGGGAGAAAACACTGACCTCCTCTGAGGAGGAGGGAATTCTGCTTTCAGAATGACTTCAGACTTGAGATGTAACATCAAGTCAGCCTGCTGGCCTGCCCTGCAGAATATCAATTTTCCAACCTCCACAATCTCATGAACCAATTCCTTAAAATGAATGAATCTCTCTCTTTCTCTTTTTCCCTCACCCCCTCTCTCTCATACACACAGACAGACAGACAGACAGACACACACACACACACACACACACACACACACACACACACATTATACTGGTTCTGTTTCTCTGGAGAAACTGGACCAATATAGGTGGTAAAATGAGAAATCTCTGTTGGATTGGCTCCAGGAGTAAGTTTTACTGATTTTCTCCTTTGAGACTTAATATAAATGAGCCAACATCCTTCTTAAAATCTATTCCCTTTGTCCTTTATAGAAAAAGTGGGAAAACAAAACAGATTATCAAGAACACAGAATATTTTCTAACTGGATAGAGAGTTCCCAGATAGCTTTAGTTATCTGTCATTATTGTTATAATTCTACCTACCTGGCAGCAGTAGATTTCTGTTTCTCATGATGCAGGCACCCGTGAGCCCAGGCACAGAGGACGTCTGCTCTTGGTCTGTGTGTGTTACAAAGACTTACTGTTTTAAATCTGACTTGGGCTCCAGAGGAACTGCTGTAGGAAACCACTGGTCTGTTTCCTTTCTTTCCAGAGAATCTGTCTTGTGATTAACTTCTCACAAACTCCAGTTCTGTTTTTTAAGTATTTCCATAGCATTACTGGTGTTTGTACTGAAAGCCTCCTTGAAGGTGGTTTTTAAATCTTTGTGGTACAGGAAAATGTGATCCTGTGTATTATAAGAACTTCCCAACATGAAGAATTACTCTGCTGGTTTTTCTATCTCGGGAAGACCTCGGATCAGAGTCAACAGAATTAACTATTTAGTATCTGTTAAAAGACAATTTTTTTAAAAAGATTTTATTTATTTATTCATGAGAGACAGAGGAGGAGAGAGAGAGAGAGAAGCAGAGGGAGAAGCAGGCTCCCAAGGAGCAGGGA